CTAAATTTAAAGATAAATTAACTGCGGAAGTTATAGCGTTACCGTGATAAATGAAACGATTATACATTTCTTTCTAAACACTTTCCATTTTTTGTTCTTTTTCCATCTCATTCTTGCCTTATAGAATAGTTTATTAGAATTTTATTAAGTTGTGCTATAACTGATTGGATTTTTATATATTGAAACGAGTTGGTTTGTGCCTTAACAATGGTTGGAGACTCAATTGATTTATTTGTAATCGTAACTTGATTTGAACTTGGTGCATGGGTTTGGACCCATGTTATATATATGTGATAAATGCTACAAGCGTTTCGATAATAGATGAAATTCATAAATTTGCAAGTTATGGCCAAATCACATCTCTTCCAAGAAAATTCTAGACACTTTTGGCTTGACTTTTCTAAAGATTTCGCTACAATTTGACGAGTGTGGTAGAAGATATGACCTAGGTATGTGCTTGTGAAGACCATTCATATAGTAATTTTATGGCTTCCAAAAGGTAATCGTTATTCTATAATTTTCATCTTATTATTTTGTGTTTTACTTTGATATGCTTTATTCGCTCGAATTTAAAAAAGTCTCGTTATTAGTATTAGATCCAGTACAGTTATTACAAATTCCATTCACGTGCTTAAACTCTTCATTCAATTAATTGAAATTTAGTATATCACGCTATTGTATACAATTTCATGTAATAAGAGTAAACCTATTTATCTTCGGTGGAAATCATTCCCCGTGACGTAACACTAAATAATTAGGTGATAAAAATATAGAATCTACTAAACTATTATGTCCCTAGTTCATGCTCATCATATAGGTGACTAGAAGCCATGAAAGATAGAACGAGATATGCTAAACATCCGTATGATGAACTATCCTAAATCAAGTTAGAATATAATTGTAGCTGTCTTAAACGTAATGAGAGCATATTCATATTTTATTTTGTATTGTGTGTTGACGACATCCATTTATTTACAGAGATAAATGTTCAATCGGGTACCTCGACAAAGAGGTTTGATTTTTACACTAAAATAAAAAAAATAAATAATAATAATATAATTATTGGTATTCAAACCAATTAACAAGTTTGAATTCTTAGCATTTTGTATAAATCAATTTCTTATTGATACTCTATCTCTTGTGTTAGCGATTGAATCGGTAAAAGGGAAAAGATTGTGAATCTCGTATTTTTTTTCCACGATTTTCGTTATGCTCCCTTACATCAAATGCACAATGATGGGTTTGATAAGGAGAGATTTTGTACAATACCCAAAGATAAACGAGTTGTAAATTATACAATTAGGCTAAGAGAGATTTTCGTCATTACATCCTTTTTTTTAATTTCAATAAAGATCCCTAAACTTTACTTGTTATCCCATATATTCTTAATTTTTTTTTGCTCACAGTCTTATTTTAACATTAACATTAATTAGCGTATATGGTACTTCATAACGATGCTTATCTAAAAGTCCATCAAAGAGCATAAAATGCTGAATTACCCTCACATTTAAATAAGCAAAACACAAAAGATAAAAGAGTGTGACATAATATTTGGAAACATTGAGGACCTTCAATGCAAATTTCTGACGTACGAAAAAAGTGTCAACTGACAAGCAAAGTGTCTTGGAGACAATAAAAAGTGTCAAATGACTCAATAATTAGGTTAAATCTATTAATGACCATCCAACTTTATACTTAGTGTCATCATGATCGTCCAATTTGATTTTGTTTCATCATGGTTATCCAACTTTATATTTAGTGTTACCATGACCACCTAATTTTCATTTTAGGGATAATTGCAGTAGAGGCCCAAACCTTTAAAACATTAGTAGACTTTTTCAAAACTTTAATTTGTAATCGTCACCTCAAACTTTTCGAAACGTTGCGGCTGAAGCCCTTTTGGACAGTTTCCATCCAAATGTCTGTTAGTTGACTAAGAAATTTGATTTTGACCATATTTTTAATATTTTTAAAAGAGTAAAATAGTAACTTTCAATTTACTACGTTAAAATAAGTTAAAAATTAAATTTGAAAAAAAAGGAAAAGAATAAAAAGAAATACAAAATAAAGAACCAGAGTCCCTATTTATCTGCATCTCTCCCCCCCACCATCCCATCTCACTCCTTAAATCAATCACACAGCTACCACCACTCGCTGCTGCTGCTAGTGACGGTGTCTTTCCCAACCATTTCATCTTCTTCCCCAAACCCGTCATACCTCTATCCCCACAATTTCGTCTTCTTTCACAACTCTATATTTTTTGTGATCTTTTCCTTTTCTTTCTCACTTTTTAGACAACCAAATTAGCCAACGTTAAAAAGATTTTCTTTATTTGAACCTTGTTTCTTTCTTTGTGAAATTTCAAGTTGACATTATAGTTTCTTTGGTGGGCCTGAGAATCAAACTATTGCTGCCTCTGTGCAGTTGAATTGGGAAATAAATTCAAGCAATGCTATCACTCTGGGATTTAAAAAGGGCTGTGTAGGGAAAATAAATTAAACGCGAGTGGAAGATATTGCAGAAAATATGAGGACAAATGATTAGATTTGGAGATGGGGATTGGTTAAGGATAGAGTTGGGGAAGAAGATAAACAATGATCTTCTTTGTTGTTTTTTATTTAACTAAAATTTATATTAATAAACAATTACTTTTTTTTTGCCCCTTTTAAGATGTAAAATAGATGGTCAAACTTTAATTCTGGGTCAACTGACGAAAAAATAGATGAAAACTGCTCAAAAGGGTTTTCATAAGCAATGTTTTGAAAAGTTTGGATTACAACAAATTAAAAATTTGGAGAAAATCTACTAATATTTCAAAAGTTTGGGATATCTGTTGTAATTATCCCTTGGTTTTATTTCACTATGCACATCCAATTTTATATAACATTTCATAATCACCAAACTTCTTTTCATCGTTTTCATTAATTTTAAAAAGGGTGAAATGTTAACTTTGCATTAAATATATAAAAAACAAATTAAAAAAGTATATTAATTCTAAAAATGTTATTTTTAAAATAACTTTTTATTTTATTTTATTTTTATAAGTAACGTTTTTATTTTATTTTAGAAATATTTTTATTATTCAAGGAAAGTCGTTTAAAAATAACTTTTTATTTTATTTTATTTTTCTAAGTAACATTTTTTTAAATGTGTATTAAAGATATTTTTAAAAAAAAATTTATTTTTTTTAAGTCACTTTTTTTAAAATGAAATTTTAATTTATTTTAAGTAAGTTTTTATTTTATTTTTTTAAAATAAATTTTTATTATTTTTTTATAATTTATTTTACACACATAATACAAAATTACCGTTTTACTCATTTTTAAATTAATAAAAATGGTAAAAGAAGTTAGGGGTCAATAGAACGTTATATGAAATTCGGTGGTCATGTTGAAATCAAATTATGGCGACATTAAATATAAAGTTGGATGATCAAATTAAAACAAAATCAAATTGAATAATTACGGTGACACCGAAGTATAAAGTTAGGCGGTCATTTGTGAATTTATAAAATCCCTCAATAACCAAGTAATAAGATCCAACGGCTAAGAATCATCACTACCATTATCACTCTAGTTATTCAGGTGATGAGATCCAACGGCTAAGAATTATCACCACCATAATATCTCTAATCCATCATATAAAATATCTAAAAACTTGAAAATGTTAAAACAAAATCTTTTCCAAGAAATTTTATTTTTTAAAAAAGGAAAAAAAATCTAAAAATCCCCAAATCCAATTCTTCAATCTTTTGGTCATGGAACCTAATAATGACGGCAGTGGACTGAGTTCTTACTTCCACCATCAGCTCCACAGCCAATCTCCTCCGCCACCACCAACCTCCGCCGTCACCGGAAACCTATCGCAGGCAAATGGAGTTGTACCCAACAGTACAACCGCTACGAACATGGCGTACCTCCACAGCGTCCCTTCTGCCGTTTCATCTCCTTTGGAAACTGTGAAGAGGAAGAGGGGAAGACCCAGAAAGTATGGTACTCCCGAGCAAGCCGCCGCTGCTAAACGGCTGTCGGGTTCTTCCGTGCCCAAGAAACGGGACAACCAAGATTTGACAGCTTCGGCAGCCGGACCTTCTGGTCCTTACTCCTATTCTTCCAAGAAACCCCAGTTTTCTGCTATCGGTAATCATCTATCCCTCAATCTCGTTCTATCAGTCCTTATGTATGTAATTATGTACGTATGCATTTAATGTATGTATGTTTGTTTGTATAATTGTATGCATTCTCGCACGCGTATAACCTTTCCCATTGTAACTTTCAATTGTCTAGACCTTACACTTTTTTATCTTTCTATGGTATGATTTCTCGTTTAGGGGAAAAAAAGTCGTTTCTTTTCTGACTCCTCCCATTTATCCGATTAATTTACACAATTGTTTTTTAGTGTTTAGATAACCTGAATTTTACAATGTTTAAGTCAAGCAGTTCCTAATTATGTTGGGTTTATTGTAGTTCTGCGAATGATTGAAGAAGTTAGGGAGGTGCAGGAGATACTATGCAGTCTTTCTTTTTTTTCCTTAAACGTTTTGATCAACAAACCACGAGTTTGAGTTCACCTGAACCAGTGTGTAAGTTACAGGCCATGGATGCTTGTCGAACAGGAAGTCACACTGTTACCGTTATACTATTTTGAATAGCTTTTGCATGGGAAAGGATAGAACCATGTTATTATGACTGGGTTTATGAAATTTTTTTTTTTCTCTAATTGTATTTTGTTGAGTTAGTTGAGATTGAGAGATTTCTTCGATTGACAATCATGAGTCCATGACTCACTGAAGAATGGTGACCTTGTTCTCGAATTTTCAGAAGAAGATGCATATGACTTACTAAACAGTTCTTACTTAGGTTTAGTAGGATTGGCTAGCCTTGCCATTTTCTATATATTCTGAGGCATTGTACTTTCATGTGCTCTTGTATAAGGGTCATTAAACTCTTAAAGAAATTGCTTCATTCCTGAGTTTGCATTCTGCAATAATTAGGTTTAACATGGTTTCACCTGAGAGTTTCATGAAAAATTAGTTGTATTATTTAATTTTTACTAAATATTTGATGCTGTATTGTCAACCACAGTTGTCCCAACTAGCCTTTAAGCTCTCCTCGATCATATATTCCTTAAGTAAAGTAGAATGTCATAATCTTCTATACTGTTTTAGACTTCTAGCTATGTGCCATGTCTTGCTTTTGAACTACAAAATTACACTTCATAGCAGTAGACCTGGCTCCGTGTGGAAATAAAAACAAAGGGAAAGTACTAGAAATGAAAATAAGCAAAATTAGGTTTAATGTGAAGGAAAAAGTGAGCCTATGGAGCTTAATTTAACAAAACAAGAGATCTTAGACATGTGACACATCATGGTGGTCAAATTGGGCCCCTCCTGAGACAAAACAAAAAATCGTAAAAACCAGAGGTCAAGGAATCTTTTAGTACTAGTATGTATATCAAATATCATATTTGCATAATTTATACAAGGTATTGGAACTTTTGCTTAACACCTATGCCTTTTTATGTTGGAGGCACAATGTCAATCTCTGCACTTTATGAGATGTTGGCATGTGTGCATTTCATTGTTCCGTGGCGTTGGCCTCTGGATAGTAAGGATTTATGCCAGGGCATCTTCCTTTTGTTTTAATGTTTAAACCTCGTGAAAACTTGAAATGTTTAATTTTGAATGACATTTGGCTTATGATATTGTTTTCCTAAAATATACACTTCTATTCTTGGATGTCTTTTAGTTTCTTGTCATTCTGAACTAATCACTTGTCTTTTCTTATCCATGGGACAAATGGGCCATTCTCATATAATAATTCTCTTTGTACCTGGCTGGTGCAGGCAACATAGGCCAAGGCTTCACTCCTCACATCATTACTGTAGCTGCTGGAGAAGTATGCTTTTACACACTGACTATGAGATCATCTTTACATATTAGTTCTGGTATAAGATGTAGAAGCTTCCTTTATTTTGAAATTATTCATGCGTATCATTTTGCTAAGAGCGTCTCCAAAAGACTCTCTATTTTAAAAGGGCATATTTTGCAATTGCTATTTACAATTTGTCTGGTTATGATTCTTTTCCATCTTAGATTGCAAAATTCGATAAGAAAATGCAAATTCAATTAAGTAGGATCAATGTGGTTACACAATATGACTTTTCTTATTCTCCTCTCTCCACTCTGACTTGTTAACTTTTTGGAGGATGGAATTCCGTATCCTAGTTACCATATCAGTCAGTTTTAGGGGTTTATTTCATTTCAGAGAGGATTTCAAATTTACTCCCGCCTTTCCTCTCCCTAAATAACCTAAATTACTAAATGACATGTTCGTAGAAAACGCTACTTTATATAGATATCCTCGTCGAGATGATAAATCTTTCTGTAATGGTATGTGCACACTTAAAGCAGTTGTTTTACAGAAACATCTGCTCCCCATTTTATCGTGTCTCCACTAATAACTGGATTGCTTGACTATGTGCATGGGATATAAAGAATTTCTGATTTAATTTGTGAGTAATAATTGTGGAATAAGATTATGATGATCGACTTTTAAGCACATATCCTGATATCAACCTCATGTTTATTGACTTCATATATCTCTTTTGCTTATCTATATCTGGATTCAAAGGGATTGTGCAGTGGTTCCTTGACTTCTTGTTAATGTCTTTTATGATATTTTTGGGGTGGTTTTTGTTGGTTTTCAATCCAAAAGCATTTTATACGCATACTATTGTAACCTGCTGCCTTTATTTATTGGACACTGTCAAAACCTAACAAAGCCGGTTGCATTTGCTAGGATGTGGGTCAAAAAATCATGGTGTTCTTGCAACAGAGCAAGCATGAAATGTGTATTATTTCAGCATCTGGCTCAGTGTCAAATGCCTCTCTACGCCAGCCGTCGACATCTGGAGGCACCGTTGCATATGAGGTAGACACTATATATTATTTACTTACGAAGCAATAAATTATCCAAAGAGATGCTTATGTAGACATGTAGTAGTTTTGAACCCCTGGTGCTACTTGGTATCATATGTCCCACAAACATGTTAGTTTTGTCCTCTCGTATCAAATGATATCAAAGTGTGGCAAGCGAAATGCATCATAAGCAAAAATATAACCTGACATATAAGGGTGAGAATAGTGTCAATGTCTTCGTGAAATAGATTCTCATGAATTTGAATCACGTTAGCATTTACCTTCTCAGGAATAATACATACATTTAACGATTTGGATAATTTTATCTTTAATCACCGGATGCCATTCAGCTGTTTATGTTTTGTTTAGATTCAAAAGTTCCGTATAACATTTTTAGTGGTCCGTAAACAAGAAATTCTTGATGTACCTTGATCCTGAATCTATTTTTTTTATTAGAAAATTAACAAATAAATACATTATCTTCAAGCAGTTAACCAGATAATGGCCATAGTGTTTGCGGGTATATGATGTGGGACAAATTTAGAGAGAGACTAAAAAAGCCTACCAAGATAAGTTCTGGAGTGGGATTTAGTTTAGATTGATGCTAGAAGTCTAAGCAAAAGGTTTGGATTACTTGTAGATTGACAGAATGGTTTTGAGACTAAAATTAGATCTATTTGGTTCTGTGAACATGCCTGAGAACGATAGTTGAGAAACTAGTCTTTAGTTGATTTTGTTGATTAGAAGTATGGAGTAGGAGTACTGGTTTATTGAAGTAAAAACGAGTGTTGGAAAATTGCATAGGAGGATTGTAGAAGGTGACTATTCTGATCTCGGCAACTAACGACTCCTAGTATAGAAGTCAAATAGCTTGAAATAATCTAATAAGACCCTACGGACTTGAGGGAGTACTCATATTCAGCCATTGTATATAAAGACCAAAATAACTTTGACTAAGAAAGAAATCCTAAATACGGTTATTTCGAAAGCTTATTAGAATAAAACAGCTTATATATGTCAAACCTAAAAGTAATCTAAGTTTCTCTGATTCCTGTCATGTGTAAAATGCAATGTTTGTTCTTCTTTTTGACAAATGTTTTGCATCAGTGTGGTTGGTTGTAAGCATATTTATTGTGTGGATATAATATATTTTACCATACATAATATAAATTATGACATCTGCCTATTTGAGATAAGACTTGTGACACAGAAAAGTCATTCCTATTTTTTTACCAAACACCAGGTTAGCTGGGATAGATAAAGAATCTTTGCATTATGGTGCTCTGTATCACCAGCAAATTGAGTGTCAGTGAGGATATAGTAGATGTAGCATTAAAAATTAAAAAATATGACTGCAAAAGCAAGCAATAATTCCATTAAAAATCACTTTTCCAACACCTATAAACACACTTACAGTATAGAGTGAGCTATGATCTGGACTCTTAAGTTGGATCAAATTTCACCTTCCAATTGGCTCTGATGTTCGGACATTTCGAAATGGATGAAATACCTTTGTCAAACGACACGACATAGGTATGAGTATGGGTATGAGATATGTGTTGGATCCTCTAATTTTCAACTGGACACTTTGCTGTTTCTACCTTTTTTTTTTTTTTTTTTTTTTTTTTTTTTTTTTT